GGGGAGCAGCGTTGGGAAGACCGGGGGAGCAGCGTTGGGATGAGCGCGGGGAGCAGCGTTGGGAAGACCGGGGGAGCAGCGTTGGGATGACCGGGGGAGCAGCGTTGAGGTGACTTAAACAGTGTTGAGATTACGAAGGAAGCAGTGTTTCCGTTACTCGGTTAATGGCTCGCCCTTAAAGACATCAGACCTAAACTCCTCAAGGCCAAAGCACGCGCCCTTTACTTCCTCCCCGCTCGCCCGACACCGCCTGCGCCCGGCGGGCGAGCAGACGCGCCGTTGCGCCCAGGCGGGACCTCCCGCGCGGCCGCGGAGCGTCCTTCCCGGGACCCGGCGGCCCGCGGCGAGCGCTGCTCCCCTTCGCTTCCGCCATCTAGTGGCCGCGCCCTCGTCCGCTCAGCTGAGACTGAAAGTCACAGGATGAATTGTTTTATTCTTGTCGTTACAGTTAAAAGGGATTTGTAGAGGGTTTCAAGAGATAAAATGTAACAAGTGTTGATAAAAAATAAATATAGCACAATAGCAGACTTTAATACCTAAATAGTATATTCATGCAATTTAATCTCTTTAATATGTGCAAATGATAACTTGAACACTGTAGAACAAAAATATAAACTAGCCCAAAGTGTTCTAAAGAAAGATTAGCCTTCTCAGGCGCTCTTGTATAATGTTCAAGGATTGTTTTATTTAAAATAACTATAATCACAGCAGATGGAAAAACAGTTCTGATACACACACAACTGGGAGAGAATGTCTCAGTTCTGTATTTAACCGTTTGTCTTGAATCAAGTTAGAACTTATTACCATTATTATTTATACATGCAATACAATGTTTAATGAATGTTGAATGATATTTAGTTTTAATGTCCTATAAATTGGAACTTTATTCAAATGGCATGATAGTGGGTTTAATTGTGTGAATCTAAAGTGAAAATAAATTTCTCTAATGAATGAAATAAAATATTTCTGAAGTGTGACTTATTTCCCATTAAAGCTGTTTTCACTGAATATTATAGGAAAAATATTTCTGACATTTTAACATTGTTCTGGTTTTCTTTTTCTTTTCATTTAAAATGCCAAGGCTGTCGTGCAGTACTTAGATCTTTCTAACAAAAGACATTTGATTGGAACCCCACTTCATTTTTTAATACACCTGTGAGCCAGCTGAAACATCTCCGATTTGTTTTTCAGGGTGGGAAAATCCCCATAAGGTGGACTGCCCCAGAAGCAATCGCCTACAGAAAGTTCTCCTCGGCAAGTGACGCGTGGAGCTATGGCATCGTCATGTGGGAGGTCATGTCCTACGGAGAGAGACCTTATTGGGAAATGTCTAACCAAGATGTAAGTGCCACCGCTGGTTACACTGCCATTTTGTGAGTGTAAGCACACTAGCACCGAGGGGGAAACACTCAGATTAACCCTATCTTCCCAAGAGTTGCTCAGGGTCTGTGGCTGAGCTTGAGAAGCTGAGTGACCTCTCATTCGAGCTGTTTGGTGTCGTCGGGGCCAGCTGACCAGCTTTGCCACGTGAGTACCTGACCCACAGCCTACAGCTGGGGCTCCCACACGCTGTTCTAATGCAGCCTGACTGTGCCTATGCAGCAGCCTTAACCTGCAAGTAACACGAAGAAAGAGGAGTGTTTGTCTTTCACTTCCTCCTTAGCGCAAGTTGATGCACCACTGTGAAGAGCAAATTAATTTAGACTTGATATCACTGAGAAGAAAAAGAGAGAATGCTCTCAGGCCATGTACTATCAATATATGTCATTTAGTGTGGTTCTTTTGAGATACATGACCCTCTATGCAATCTGCTCTTTTTCTATTTTCTCTATAAAAATTACCTTGGTGGTTGATATTATGGAACAGGATGGTTAACACACATCTGACCTCCGTGACCTGTCCAAAGTGATAGAGACAGTAGTCAGAAAATGCAAGCACACTGACAGTGCAGATAAGTGTGCTGTCAGAACTGGAAGTATACTAATTTCCTGTTCCCTCACCCCAGAATTCAGACTCTTCGTCCACTCACTTGCCTTCCTCAAAGTGTCTCATGGTTCCTGAAACAGTAGTAATGGGAAATCACCTCCAACGTGGTTCTGGATGTTCGTAGGTGGAAACAGAGACCCTGTAACTATAGAACACGCTCAGAACACAACTACTGCATCATCTCTTTCCTTTCTTCCCCTGAACTGCTTGAGCAGCACCTCCTCCCCTCCCACCTTGTTGCTCCATCCCAACCTCAAGTTTTCCAAGTATCATAAGGACTCAGTCACAGCGGAAGTTCCTCCTTTTCTAGTGCCAGGCACAGAGTCCGCGTTTCGGTTAGCTCAGCATGGCTGTTGTTTCTCCCTGCCACACGGCGTGACTTTGGAAGCTGAGTCCTGCTCAGCCCTGTGGGTGCCCGCTGTCCCTGTGGGGACAGCCCTGTGGGTGCCCGCTGTTCCTGTGGAAACAGCCCTGTGGGTGCCTGCTATCTCTGTGGGGACGCCAGGTCCAGAAACCTCCCTGGCAACAGGTTTGAGGTCATACACACGCTCAGCCATTGCTCCCCAAAGCACATCATCAAGCACACAGCCGTGTGGCTGGGTCCTGCGGAGAGTCTGCCCTCAGTACAGAACGAGCCGTGACCAGCAACCTCCGCTCCACGCCCAGCACTGAGACTCTGATCCAGGTCATCTGCCGGGAGCCGACTATCCTTCAGAAATTTTATTTGAAGGATCTCATGGCTCTTCCCTGCCACTGGGCCTTGTTTGGGGCAACTTGTGACCAGCTCTCCAACTCTTCTTAAAATTGAGTCTCAAAAAGCAGAAATTTGTCCCTTCTCTCCCAGAAGAAACTCGTCTTATTTTCTTTTAACCAGTTATCTGAGATGACAGAAGCCCTGGATTCAGGTCCTATAGTTCCTGCTCTACTCCAACCCCAGGATAGTGTTTGCCTACCTATCTTCTCTGACATGACTAGAATGGGCCGTTCAAGCAAATCTCCAGAAAAGAAAGTCCTCCTCCAGACGAGTCAAAGTCTTCACTGTGCAGAAGAGCCCTCACTTCAAGTCCCTCCCTAACTGGTGCTGCATTTAGTCCTTGTCTTAACCAATTCTCTGTCAGACTTAAAATTAAGAATTGCCTAGGGCCGGCCGAGTGGCTTAGCGGTTAAGTGCGCGCAGCTCCACTGCTGGTGGCCCGGGTTCGGATCCCGGGCGCACACCGACGCACCGCTTCTCCGGCCATGCTGAGGCTGTGTCCCACATACAGCAACTAGAAGGATGTGCAGCTATGACATACAACTATCTACTAGGGCTTTGGGGGGAAAAATGAATAAATAAATAAAATTAAAAAGAATTGCCTAACTCAGAGGGCTCCAAACTTGACTAATAATATACTCTCACCAGCAAAAAGTTCTTGAGCATTCACAGCTGACGTGTGTGTATTTACTTGCACATTATGTACAAATACTACTGTACTAATATATTCATTTATTCACTTAAAAATATTTACTGGATCCCTTCTCTGTTCCAGGAACTAGAGCTACAACAGAGAACAAATGCTACACCTGGAAGGAACTATAAAGGTCATCTAGGCCACCCCCAGTCCAAATTGGTCATGAGACTGAGGCCTAGAGAAGCGTCATGATCTCCCTAGAATCGCACAGCGAGTGACGGTAGAAGTAGGTGCTAACGAGCTTTCGGAGGAAGTCAGGGACGAGGAGACGGGAAGAGCAAGGAGCTGCTGCTTTCTTGGTGGTTTGGTTTACAGTCCGTCTGGATCCATATGGGGCCAGAGATTTCTCGTCCTCATGGAGCCTACATTCTAGTGAGAGGGAGACGGAGTGCAAACAAAGTAAATAAGTAAAAGATACAAGGTGTAACATGATAACCACTGCTGCTTTGGGGGAAAAAAGCAAGAAAAGAGGATGATCAGTGCTAGGGGCTTGGTTTCAAATATGTCATATATATTGCCAAATACATTCATAAAAGTCATACCTTTTTGGTCATAAAAGCCCTAATTTGTCATTCGCATTAGACATTCATAAGTAGTCTGTCCTGTAATAAGATGACACAAATAAACATAAAGAGAAGTTCCATTGTTTTTCCTGCCCCTGGATTTTCACTTTACCGCCTGGGGTACATTGTGCCACCAACGTAGTGGCCACGGCCATCGTTATGTAGACTATAGTTCAGCCGTGAAAGTCACTTAACTAAATGCCTCAGTTTCATGACCAATACATACAATAAAAGGACTGAGCTAGGTGACTTTTAATATTCCTTTTAACAGTAACATGCTATGATTCTATATTCTCTGGAGAAATAGTTATCATACTTGTCTCTGCAAAGGAATGATTCATGTTGTTCTTTTCTGAAGTTTAGAGCATTACTGAATCCGTGGAGGTGCCAGGAATCAGGTGGGACTTCCACAGAGCAGAGTGGACACAAGTAGAGATACGAGAGCGCAGGGCAGATTTTTTAGGAGAGCAGTCTTTGAGGGAAAAAGCCCAAATGTGTAGTTTCCAACATAGCGGGGACAAGTAGAGATACCAGAGCATAGGGCAGATTTTTTAGGAGAGCAGTCTTTGAGGGAAAAAACCCAAATGTGTAATTTCCAACATAGACCACCATATGAATTGTTCTTAATTGTTGCCTAGAGTGGTCCAAACCCCATTGTCAACCCCTTCCTTCCTGGATCTTGCCCGGCAGTTTACCCAGCCATTTTGGCCGGGTGTATTGATGATCTGTGTCCAAGATGACCATTTAGAGAGTGATTCTATCTATTGAATCTCATTTGGCCACAAAGACTGTATCTGGAACCAGAAGGAGCTGCTGCATCCAGGAATAGATTCCTGACATTAAGCCCATTCTCATTCGTTCAGGATTGCCAATGCCCACAGCACAGACTGAACACTCCCTCCACCCAGAGCTTCATGTTTGTCGAGGACCAGGTAGGAGCTAAGCTGGTTACTTTCATGGGCTTTGAGTGGTTACTGAAAAATATTCAAGCAAGAATATGAAATAAGAGGAAAACAAAAAGGTATTGGGGAAAAAAAAAAAAAGCCAAACCTTTGAGGTCCTCGGATCAATACAAGACTACAGGAAAATAGTAGGAGCTAAAATCTTTTATGTATCTTGTGAATATTTTTTGCTGCTGCAGTAAAGAGAGTTGGAATTCTGTTTAGCTTAACATATTGGAAGTCAGCATATCTGGGACAGAGCCTGTAGCCAGAACTTCTGTTTGGAAGCAGATGTAGCTTAATCATAACTTTCCCAGCTGCCCCCCTCCAGCTCTGGTTAGTCCCCATTTGTCCTGCATTTCTCATCTGTTTGGTCAGAGTACAGGGTTAGGTTTGACTTTCTGCAACCAAGGTGCATTTTAAATTAGGAAAGCAATGTTTTGGATAGTAAAAATTCAACTATGTTCTGTTTGAATATTTTATATTTTTACTACATTTTGGTGAATTTAACTAAGCTATTGGCTTAGCTAAATATGGAATGTTAACATGCTTTATGTTTTTAAATGAGCTTAGGAAATTTCAGATAGTTTTTATTAAATAGTCCCTCCATTCTGCAGACTGTGGCATATTTTATTACAACTGTGAGTTTGCAGAATCTGTTTCAGTGAATAACATAATAAGTTTCCCAGAGGTCAGTGGTCTTTTACATTAGGGAAACGAAAAGACAGAAAACAGCGTGCTCAGGAGACGTCCATGGAAGGCCCCACAACATAACAGCAGGTGCATCTGCTCAGCCCTTGAGCAGTTACTTATTAGCACAGTCGCTGGACCAGGTGTGCTCTGGGGCGGGCATGAGAGTCAGAAAGCCCAGCCCTCACTCTCACAGAGCCCACCCTGTAAGTGAGGAGATGAAGTATGGCCTTTGTAAGTCTTGTCCCTGCCCCCAAGTAGAATGTACACTCCTCAAGGATAGACCTCATGCCTTCTATCTTTTTTTTTTAATTGAAACATTATGTGAATGCAAAATAGTTATTTTTTTAAATATACGCCCCAAAAGCTCGTATACTCTATTATTCAGGGTTCTTTTGATTACGAATGGCAGAAACTCAACCCAAACTAACTTAAGTAAAAATAAGGAAACTATTTCACTCATGAGACTAAGAAGATAGTTTAGTGGTTCTGGATCCCGGAGATCTTGCAGGGTCTTTAGTGCTTCCCTACGTCCATTGACCCCATTTTCTCCTACTGAAAAGGTCTTCTTTGCTGTATTCTTCACACTCCAGGGTTCAGCATGCCAGCTTAACACCTCAGCAGAGTAAGACCGTCTCTCTGTGAAAATTCATATACCAAACCCAGAGAAGAATCTGGTTAGCTCTGTTAGGGCCCTGCCCAACCCTGAA